TCCCGGGAGCGCGTGAAGCTGATGGAAGGACACTGGGAGTGCTACAGGCTTAGCATTAGGAGCACTAGTTTGCACCTTAGGTGTTGCAGGATGACCTCCATGGAACATGTTTCTTGGACATGCCTTTTGGCAACTGGCAGGGGTTGTGCACAAAACAGAATTTTGTGTGTATTTATTTGAGATTGTTTTTGCCAGGTGATGCTCCAAGCCAGGAAGGTTTCAGCGAACCTCAGGCAGAACTGGGACGCGACTTCGGGCCGATCTGGCTATAGCAAGTCGCACATTGAGGCCGTACCAATCCAAATAGACCAAGCATGACCCCCCCTGTGTACAAGAACATCTTGGAAATGGCGCGTTCTCTAAATGGATTTCTACCTTCTGGGAGTGTTTGCTTTTCGGTGGTCCCTAGCTGCTATAAGAAATAGAGATCCCAGTCGGATGGGTCCTAGCAGCTAGGAGCAGAGCGCTGCAGGAGATTCACTGCCTTGTTGGAAGGGACACTGGTTGTTGGGATGTGGTTTTTCAGGGTGGGATTGGACGAAGAGGCCCAGGGAGCGGACGCCAAGTGCACGCTTTGGAGCTTCCCAGGGCACTAGGAAGGGCGATGAAGGGCACGTCATTAGCAGCACATCGGATAGCACGTCATTAATTGGCAGCCCCCCAAAAGGAGCTTCCACACTGAGCGACGCATGCAGAGATGGATTTGAGATGGATTCGGCCTTGGGACCCACCTGCACGCCTGACCAGGCAGTGCCGAAGGTCTTCCAAGCAACCCCTCGCAGGCGAGAGAGGTCTCGATCCAACAAGGGAACACCCGGATGCCAAAGAGATTGGCCCTTTAGACATGTTTGTTTTTAAGTAATCTATATGTTTGGGGTGTTGCTTTGTCCTTTGAGCTTTGGTCTTGCTTTGTCTTGGTTTAATCTAGCCGCTCTTTTTTTTGGGGGGGTATTTGGTCTTGCGTTGTCCTTTGAGCGGTGTTTTTTCTTTGCAACATACTTGGTGGGGGCTTGTGCGGGGCGGTATTTCAAGATGAAAAGGTCCACCGGATGGCATGAATAGGATCCTTGGTAGTACTCTCAGTATATGCTTGGCAAATCTTGCAGAGAAGACTTTAGGGAGGCACGCGTCACTGGTTGAAAGGGTGATGGTTTCATCCCCAGTGAGGCGGCACCTCCCAAGAGCGTCAAGACGAAAATCCATCACGTGAAAGAGTCATGAAACTGCCTTTGGCATTGGCCATCGTTGGCCATTCGTGTGTGCGATCACTCTTGTGAGCTTTTTGTTCAGGGCAGTGCTGCCTCGCCTTTTGTAAGATTGGGGATTGCCCCAGCGTATTTGGACAGGACCTGACTAGGAGATACCCTCGAGAAAGTCCTCATCCTCATCCTCACATCATCAGCATCATCTTAAGCATCAGTTGCATATGAACCGACTTCGGCGTTGGCGTTGCTAAGTCAGGGATCCCCGGCCGTGCCAGGCACTTTGCACACCTGGCACTTCCCGGGTCTGCAGGCCGGGGCCGGACACCAGAAGTGTCGGACCTGAGGATCGTTAGAGGCTTTACGGGGGTTCCTCAAAAAATGGAGACAGCTTCCAAAAGTGGTTGAATGAGGCAATGAACGGCTTTTCTCCATTGTTCAGGGTCACTATATACCAGGCCTTGTTTTGGTTGCTGCTTTGTTGGGTGGTTTTTATAATAGGTACCGCACATGGTTTGGGCCATGTCCTGTGGTTGATGTCTCGTCGTCCTCGAAGGCTTTCAGGTGGTCCAGATCGAGGCAACCCCCTCGTGCGACCACGTCCAGAGCGATTTCCTGACAGGGTTCGCTGGGCCCACGGAACCACTGGCGATGGGCATGGGCAGCAGCTGCGAATGGCAGGAGAGATACACATATATGATCATGTTTGTTTCTCGTTGGAACAGGTCAGCCAGGGGAGGGTCCTTGGAGTCCTTGGATATTTTTTTTTGAGACCTTCCCTTACCTGACCTAAACAGAACTTGTGAACGATCAAACCCTTATTTGTGTACCCACTTCTACTGTGTTCTGTGTACCCTTCTATCCTGCCTGCTTCTCCTCAAATAACAACTGGGAGCCATAGATACAATGCTTCACTAGGCGTCAAGCTCTGACTTGACCTTATTCTACGGACCGTCTGCGGAGCCTGCAAACGTCCCTGTGTGCAACACTGTGGAATCCCGTCATGTTATCACCATGCTAAGCAATTTTGGCTGTTTTCCGACCGCAAAAATAACAGTTGGATCAGTTGGATCTTTTATTCTCTTGGCATTTGAACTGGTCAGATTCCATGTGGGAGAAGGTTTGGACCAGGCGGATTAGGACTTTATTACTGCAAGACTCCAAAAAATAGACATTTGGGCAAGGGAGCTTGACATTTCCACCCGGGTTGCCCCACTAACAGCCAGTGATGCGAACCATTTAGTATGGACCTTGACATGAGGAGCCAGTGTATGTTGTATTGAAGTCCAGCTCCTATGGCTGGGAGTTGAACACACCTGAGCCCCACATCGCCCCCTGTGCTCATATCATATGGTGTCAGGGTTTCGGCAGATGTTTATTTGATAGATGGCCCAAACCAACATTTGGGAGTCAGTAGCGGTGAAGTTGGATGGATCTTCATGCGCTAAGCTGAAGCCTGAACCTTCGCCTGAACCTTCGCTGAAGGAGAGCCCCCCGACCACAGCCAGCGCAGCACGAGCCTGAGGGTTGAGGGGACAACTTCGCGAGAGAGAACTTGGTGTTTGTAAAAACTCAGCAGGTGAGACGTTTCTTCAAAATTCTTCAAACACTTCAAAACCGGTAGATGAACGACAGGCTTCATGGTCCATCAACCGTAGTAGGGAGAGAGAGAGAGAGGTTTGTTGGACTGCGCAGAAACTATGAAACCTTCCCAATTGCTCAAGGCTCAAGGCTCAATTGACCAAGAGGAAAGGGGAATCCCTTGAATTCATGAAGGTGATGACAGCTGTGCTCAACTTAAGTTCTTGTTGAGCTGCAGTGCCAATCCGCCCCAGGGTCCATCTCCTCTATCCGAAACGCGCTTCAGCTGAGGCGTGGGGCCCGCAGGGCCAAGGCCAAGTGCGTACAGTGACGGAGGGTCTCACACCTTGTGCTACAAGATTGGTAAGACTATTTGGCTGATGGGTAGAGCTGGAGGAACATACTAGTTGTAGAGATAAGTTTCAGCGACTGATGCAAATCGCGAATCTCACAACATGCCACCGTAGCACTGAACATGCACAACCACCATGAAAAATCGTACCAAGCTGTGGGTGGGATTGCAGCTGGACCAAGCTCAGTCACGCGCCATGATGCAGCATGGCACGCTATGAATGTCATACCTTGGGTCTGTCCTATTACCTGTAAAGCCGTCGGCATACAATCATCACTAGTTCACACTATTACAAACCATTTTAGAGAAAGGATAGAGAAAGGCCTGCAACTGAACCATCATGATCCACTGTTAGTGGGAATGGGGTGATGCCGTATACCCAAGTCATATACCCAAGTCCATGAGCGCCCACCCGCTCTGAGCTCGCTCGGCGCTGGCTCGGACCCGACGAGGCGGACGGCTTGCTACTCGGTGAGCCTGAATTCGATCCAACTGGTCACCAGTGGGCCAAGTGAGATGGGCCAACTGGTCACTGCACATCAGGAGATGGGCCAACTGGGCCAACTGTATATACTGTATATATATTAACATACATATATATATATATATTGGTGCAACAATGTACCAATTGCTGTCTTGGATCGGAATTTGCCATGTTGGTCCCTTGGTGTTGCGGGGGTGGCCTGGTGTTTGGAAATGTTTGGGAAGCGTGAAGCCCCGTGCGACCAGCCGCGAACACCGTGAGTGATGCATCCTCGATGCCGGACGGTTTGTGGGCTGGACCGGGCACCTGTGGGAAAGACAAGTGGACAAAGAAAACACCGGAGCTTTGCTGGCCGAATCGGTTCTTTAGTGAGTGTTAGTGTCAGTGTTAGTTCGTGCGTGTATGTGTGGGTGGGTAGGTGGGTGGGAGATGTTTTCCTCGGTTTTCCTTTCACCAGACAACTGTCCAAACCACCCGATGGTGACCAGAGAGGCCCAGCCGGGCTTTGAAGCGCGGCCTGCTGAAGGCGGCCGGCTTCGGCGGCTCAGCCGTTGGGATGCGCAGCGTGTTTGACCGGTGAAGTGGCCGGCCCAAGAGAGGCTGCCTCAACTGGTGAAGCAAAGGTGTGAAGATTTTTGCTTCGATGCGTCAGCCAAAAGGTTTGAGAGTAGGTCGAAGGGTGCTGAGAAGGGGGTGTAAAGGTGCTGCCGGGTGAGCAGCGGCTTTCAATTGAGGGGACCCTTTATTGATCGGATCCAGCATGTTCAACACATTTTGCAAAAACCATGGGGACATTATGATTTGGCATTGGAGAAAAAAGTGCGAAACAGCTTGAGTTTTCCCACAGAAACTGCCGCTGGCTCAAGGATTTGCAATAAATAAGTTCAGCCTTTGACCTTTGTAGCTCAAATGTGCATCCCTGGGACATGTTATGAGAGCGCACGACGGCTTGCAGGCCTAGATGCAGCAAGAAACATGTATATTGTATGTAATTACATATGTACGTATACATATAGATGGATAGATAGATAGATAGATCGATTAGATAGATTAGATAGATTAGCTAGTTTAGATAGATAGATAGATGGATGGATAGATAGATAGATAGACAGACAGACAGACAGACAGACAGATAGATAGATAGATAGATATGAAGATCATACTATGTTTGAAGCAGCCTTTCATGCGTCAGGTTGTTTGTAGAATATGAGGCTGCAACAAGTATTCCAGATTGATTCTTCAGGGGACTGGATAGTCAGAGTGATAGTCAGCTATGGATCCCCAGAGAGCTGAACCATCATCCTCAGTCATGACTACCAACTTATACATCATCCTCAAACCCAAAAACATGTCAAGAGTTATTTGATAACGTGGATGCTTTGCTGTTTGTGGTTCGGGTCTTTGGTCTTTCGGTATCCTGCCAAAGGCACGGCCCTCGTTGTATGCAGCGTTGCGTGCCTTTCAACATGGGTGTTCGGCGAGGCGGGTGCGCCAAAGCCTCACCAGGGAAGGTGAATTTCCAGACACATTCCCGGATGTTCCAGGCATCATGTTTAATCAACACATCTCGGTGGGCGAATGTGGGCGAGACAGATCTAGCCTTCGCTGACGTGTTCCACTGGTAGCTAAGGGTCACATCTTGGCCAGTCAGCCAGGTCAAGTTGCCTTCGCTGGGACCCTTGTAGCAGTCGCCGGCTTGGTACTTGCTGCACGCCTGTTGCAGTGGTGAATATCTAGACACGTGCGAAGAAACAGTCATTTGCGGTCACTAAAGATCGTTTTTTTTTTTTTAATAGGTTGCTGTTGAGGTGAAGTGTCATTCATGTCAACATGGACACTTGGGGGGCATTTGCGTACTACTTAACTAGTCACTCGTCATGTACATTGAATGCATTGCAACATGTTTGAGCATCTTTGAACACTTAGCCGGCATCGTCCAACAATTCTGAATCGGCTAAATAATTCTCTTCAGGCTACCCTAAAAACTGAAGGAACCTTTGAAACCCTTTTTACTCAAGTTGGCCAGATGTTTATGCGCACCAGATCACACCTGGGTGATGTCTCGAAGGTTTCTGTGGCGGATAGGTTCCAAGTGCATTGAAGCTTCTAGGAACAAGAAGCTTCCTTGGGAATCGTTTCACATTTTCATGTGTAGTAACAAGAAACCACCAGGAGCGCATGGGGCTCTGAGGCGAATTTCGCTCCATTTCGCTTTTCAAGCACCTTCGCCTTCCCTGCTGCATCCCCAGAGGCAAATGCGGCTGATGCGTGTCAAAACCGGAAAGATTGGTTGGAAAGCGCATGGGCAAGAAAACCAGGTGTAATTGCTGCAGTTTGTGGTGTGTTGATCTGAAGTTGTGGTCGTTTGCACTCGATTTCGCACGCTCCAACTGTAGAGAAGACCAAGCCAAGCTGGACATGGCTGAGGCTCTTGAAGCGCCCGAGATCACATGGACTGAGAAGAGATCTCAGTGTCAGCCGGTTCAGACAGCTTCCAGTATCTTCCCATGAAATTCATGTTTTTCATCGTTTTTTTTTGACGACTTGGAGGATTCACAAATTGATCTAAACTCGAAAACGCCTGCAGAAGATGGCAAAAGCAACCAGGACTTGAGGCTTTGCGGCTTTGCTCTACTGCCCCGCCCCTGCCCAGGCCGTGTGCTCACTATGGCCATCGCTTTCATTCCAAGAAGCTGCCTGAGGGCCTGAGGCGGAGGGCCTGACAGCCTTCGCCTGATGGCTTCCGAAACTTGATGTTCGAACTGAGCTTCGGACGTGATTTCTCCAGGTGGGTGACGTTTTTTGCGACCATGCGGCAAATGTAGCCGTCCCTGCCCCCGGAGGAGAAATAGAAAAAAAACAAACTAGTGTCTCCAATGAAGCCAATGAGTTTCCCCTTCATTAGGTGTTGATTAGGTGTTGGTGCACACGGTACGCATGTGGACGCACTTGGGGTGTGACATGGATGGAAACCAGGTGTTCTAGAATTCCTACTTTCGGAGTTGCCAGGATCGACGAATTGTCTCGAAAACCGATGCGACCCCTCCGGTCGCCGAAGCGGCCGTGCCCAGAGCTTCGGCATGAAACACTTGGCATATGTTCGTCACACACGGCGAGGCATTTGACATCTCCCGTACTGGACTAGCCTGTACTAGCTGCCATCATGATTTCCACAGTGAGCTGTCCGGCTCAGTCCGGCTCACACACGGTGAATCTTTGTGACAGGTATTGCCGCGAGTTCATCACATCCGCAGAAGAAGATGGCCTAGACCAGTTGCTGTCCGATGGCCCATGGCCGCTTGGAGCAAAAATCTGGTTGGCTTGTTCCTAGTAGCTTCTTGTTAGGGCCTGAATCCATTCTTAGCTTACCTGGATGAACAGTTTTAGGTGAGACACGCAATGAGATCCAGCTCCTTCATCGCTTCAGCTCGTTTTTGGCCATGAAAGGCATCAGGACTCATGATGCACCGCTGCTTTCAGGCTTAGACACATCAAGAGCAGAGCCCAGCAATTCTTCGGCCTGGTGTACTATGAGAGACTTGCCGGCAACAAGCACCATGGAAGTGTTCAGTGTTTTGACCCCTGGCACATGTCATATCATCTCCATCCTTCAGCCAACGAAGTCAGGACCACACACGAGCTACCGGCACTTCAGCCGAGCCATCCACACGCTGAGAATGAGGCAAGGCGCGCACAGCTGTGTGAAAGAAGTATTTTTTTTTGCAATTTTTCAGCCCGTGGGCGAGAAGTGTCATTATAGGGACCGCAGATTTGTCGTTTTCCTTTCTTGTGCCATAGACGTTCTTTGTAAGTGGTTTTTGTGCCTTTGGATTCGCGCTTGACCTACCCTTTGCCTGACTGGTTTCCCACAAAGGGCCCCACACACTTGTTACAACATGGATGCCCGAGCCAAGCAGCATAAAGCACCCAAAGCCGGCTCACTACCCCCTCGTCCAAACATAAGACACCAAGCATAAGAGCCAGGGGCTCATGGAGAAATGTGTTTATTTTCCCCCCTTGGACGTTTGGCCTGCACGAACAAAATCGGTTCAGCAATTCAACTAGATTCAACCGCAATGTTTCGTTTGTGAAGTTATATCATCAGCCTTGATGTGCGTAACATGTGTAGACCAAGCCTTTGATCCACCTCACAGGTTTGAACATGTTTGCAAGATTGTCAGTAATTGTATATATACAGTTGTCATCGGTTCAAAAATTGCGAACGAGCCAAGCCCTCAATGGAGGCGGTTGCTGAAAAAAAAGCTAGACAGCGGCATATTGAAACGCTGCAAGCGGAACACAGCCGCGTCACGTAAACTATAACTCAAGGAGGAGGCCATTCGCTGCAGGCAGGTGTCAGCATCGAATTATATTTGACAGATCCACGAGAAAGGCTTTTCTTTGCATCAAGAACTGAAGGCGTACGCACACAGACGCTAGTATGGCCACTACAATTCTTGACGCCACTCCCAGACTAGCTACTTGCGCACACAGACGCTACTTGTCACGCACACACACAGTTTTTTGCACTCAGTGGATGGAGCACGCTTTCGTATGCCACCTAGATCGTGTCACCTTGGATGTTAGGGAACCGTATGTACATGCATGCACATGCAAGATGCATGCAAGATGCATGCACCGTTTTTTCCGACACGACGGGCTGGGAGCTTTTGTTTCCTTAAATGCAGTCTATTGATGTCTATTGCATCTTGTAGCCAAGCAGTTGGTTGCATGTACTAGCAGGCCAGGCCACTTCAAGATGTCCCAGATTGGTTGATGTGACCAGGCTGCAGCGCGATCTTTTTGAATGTATTTGACTCCACCGGTGGAGCAGAGCCAAGGTGGATCAACTCACAGGGTCAGTAGGAGTCCATTGAACACTCCAAGGCTGAAACGATTTTCCATCTGTCATGCAGTGGGACAAACGCCCATCCACCCGGCGACCGTGGCCATGCCCCATGGCCCCATTATGACGTGTGAAGGCTTCCATGCACGATTCTTTTGAAGGAGCAGTTAACTCAATTGCTCACCCGGTAGTGTGTTCACTTTCACGCAGGTTGAAAAGGCCTAAACCGATGGGCACTACTGTTAATCAATGATAATCCCAGACAACTTCCCAAACGATAAGCGAACGATAACCTAAATGTCACGCCAGGCACTCCGTAAACCTACTTCTCCGCATTTCTAGTGTTTGTTCATGGGCCAAGCTACTAGGTCCCCGCATGTCCCCGCTTATGTTTTGTGATCCTTGCACAGCCCAGTGCCACAAGAACCCAAGTGCATAAATCAAGTGCTGTGCCATCCCTGTGCAGAAAGCACTGTAAGCATTTGTAAGCCTCTAATCTGAGGTTGTGAGTAATTTGTTGATATATTTTGTGTTTTAGTCTATGCGTCGGTATGCGCCAACTACGACTGTTGGAGTCCAACATTCGAGAACGAGTAATGGACGAGCTGTCGTGGACTTCCCGCTTCTTAGGCAGCGAGTCTTCGCCACGGGGGTGTTTCCGAGAAACGAAGTGAATCAGGCCGAGACAGCATGGTTCGACCGCAGCTGGATGCTTTAGTTTGATCTATCAATCTGTTAGTGTTTATGTATAATATATATATATATAGCGATATATAGCGGATTCGACAGCCTATCAGCTGCTAACCCATGGATCCGCTAGCCATGTGAAGCCGATCGGCTCGGGCCGACCGGTGATGTCCAGGTGGCGGCCAACGAGTACTTGGATCGTGCTGGAATCTCCTCCCATGCGCACAGCTGAGGGGCCTGAGGGGCCGAGGGTGGGGTCGTCCTTGTGGCAATCCTGAGCTTGGGATGACTGAGCTGAGACTGCGCTGAGCTGAGCTGAGACTGAGGTAGAAGAGCCGACGTCCTTTGGTCCGAACTTGGCCACACTCTCCATGCTCTCTCCAGTGGAGATGACGCTCACCCCCGCAGAGGAGGACTGGTCAACGACCAAATGACGACAGGTAAACTAGTGAACGGTCAGCGACGTGTGCTGGTATGTGCACAGGACCAATTGCAAAGTCGAGCTCGCTCCGAGAAAAAAACCACTTTCCGCAAATTGCCCCTCCAGAGACGTTTGTTGTGGTTACTTGGATGTATATAATAGGGACCTGTAATTTAAATGCACCCAACTTGACAATCATTGACCATAACCTCGTGTTTTTTTGACACCCTTGGAAGCTTGAGCATTGGCTCGGCATAGGATCTGCACGGCAGGGATGGCCTGGATCACGGCAACTGGGTGAAGATTCTGCTGGAGCCCAGGAGTTTGCTGCTCCTCCAAGGCCTTGTGCTGGGGTGGGGCTGTTGCTTGCGATTCAGGATGGGTCAAAATGACGGATCTTGAGAGAAAAGCGTCAAACAAATTGGTGGAGTTTGGGCCAACTTAGGCCAAAAGTCCTGGGATTGGGCTTGGAATTTGCCTTTGAGCACTACCTCTTTGGTCCTTTTGTTTTGCAGGGGTCAGGACACTTCTTGTTGAAGTCGGGTGCCAAGATGCGCGGGCACCACCTGTCCTTTCGCTTGAAAACAGATCCCATGAGACGTCTCATTTGGATTTCCGGAACCTCCTCGTTCACGTCTGCTAGAGCTCCCTGTTAAACAGTTTTGCAAGCTTGACTGCTTCTTCCAAACGTGCTTCACTTCGTGCGGCCATTGTTACGGTGCCTCCAGAACCTAAACCAGCCTAAAACCTCAGAACATACTGTACCCACATTTATCCACGAAATGCGGAACTTGCACATCATCGGACTATATCTGACTCATCGAACATGCCAAACAGCCAGGTGAGAGCCGCTATGGCTTTCGACACGGCATCCGAAGGTCCAAGCTGGTGAGAAGCTGAGCTGGGCGCCTCCGGATCACCATGAGAATCGATCCAACAAGGTGTTCCAACATTCAAACCATCAGGATCAGACATGTCATGACATGTCCAAGCCTAATCCAAGTCTAGTCCACTTCTCCTTCCAAGTTGGACTCGAATTCCGACTCAGCTGGGTCACACCCCTTGTCCTTCAAGGTCACTGGGACAGCATCGCTTGGGACAGCACGTCGATTAGGCTCAACATGGCTCAACACTAGACCTCCACCTAGTAGTTAGCTTCTTGCTCCTAGTAGTAAGGCCAGCAGCTACGAGTAGCGTCCGATCGCTCCGTTCGAGTCGCGATGCCGGTAGCGATGCCCCTTGTTACGTTCGAGTCGCGATGGCCGAAGTGTTCCGTGCATAGCTTGTTCTTGCACCCGCTTCGAGGTTCGCTTAGCCGATGGACAGCAGCTGCGGAGAGGTCCAGGTGTCGCCACGGGCGCCGGACACGGGACCAGTCCACGCGGAGACGTGCGAAACCTTTCGGTGGCAAAGCATTGGTTGGTGCACGAAGCATTGATTGCACTCTTCTTCAGCTTGTGCTTGTTAAGTCTTGTGCTTCATGAATTCTTACCAATGTCATGCCAGGATGTACTGGTATTAATTGGTACTGGTATTCCTTCCAGTCATGCAGGTTCTTGATTTCTTGAATCTGGGTTGGCAAAATAGGTGCCCATTGTTTGAGCCACGGCCATTTGAAGTTCCAGCTGTTCTTGTATGTTCTTGTCGTTGAGGCTATCGCAGGGTGTCCTTGACCTTCCGAGAGCTCTTGCCAAGCCGTCGGCAGCTGGCAGATGTTGCCTTCCGCGAGAGTGCGTGGGTGGTGAGAAAGCGTGAGAAGCGGGGCAGGACTGAGCAGGGCTGGGCAGCTGAACCAATTCAATCATAGTGGCACATGCAGGCTGAAGATGTGCAGTTGCAGTTTCCATGATGATGCTGAGGATCTTGATGAGAAGCTCTTGATTATGCGGTGCTCAAGGTAAGTCTACCGGTCCAGAGCCACGGAGGAAGAGTCATGATGTCATGGGGGGGCCAGAGTTTGTCCAAAAGAAATTACAAAGGGGAAGGTTCCACCCACGCATCATGCAGCATCGTGCAGAAGTGTGCTCAAAGAATGCAAGACGTATATCCTTCGCCAATGAAAGCTACCCTTGGACACTACTGAAGCGACCAACGCGTCCGCAACGACTTGGCCTTCCGCACCTCCATGTCGCAAGACGCGACCGTGCGGTCGAATCTCCAGAGGCAGCGATTCGCCGCTCCGCCTCGTTGACCCGTCCGAGGGAGGAAGAAAACATCGGAACATCCGCCCCACTCTCGGTGGTCGGGTGTTTTTGTGTTTGTCGTGTTTAACGGTGCGATGAGTCGACATTTTTCCGGATGGATGGCTGAACTGGTTGCTGGACATCGTGACTGATGAGGGGGGGTGAATGATCTTGGATTTGACTCTGCATTTGGTGCTGTGGGTCATTCCGTGTTACCAGCCAGAAGAGGTTGAAGACCAAAAGGGAGAGCCTCTCACAGTGCAACTGCCTGTGGCGAGGCCAATCCCGTCCTCGAAGCCTGGAAAAGAGGAGACAGCACTGAAAAGACAAAGCAGACTGTCGTGTTCAAGCGAAATTGGAGTGTATTGGAGGAGGTGATTCTGATGTGAACCATCATGCCAGTCATGTGGACTATCATGTGGAATCAGATGGCAGACAACAGTTCCATACTTGACGAATCTTGACGACTGATGACCACAAAGGTGTGAAACTGTCATCGGATACCGTCCATGTGATCTTGATTCAGGACACAGTTCAGAATCAACACGTCATTCATCACGAGAATTTGTCACTTGTCCACGTCTATGTTCATTTGTCATGCTGATTCCGTTTGTTTTTCCAATGTTTTCCTGATTGGAGGCGACCTCTGTGCTTTTTGGACCGACCTCATTGATTTCATTGCCACCTCCCAGGCGTGCACGGTTTCGCCTCGACGCGTCCAGGCGGCCGTGTGACATATCGACGCACTGAAATCGGCACCGAGCCGCTGCGCAACTCACGGTGCCCTGTCCTTCTGGGCGCGCCGGGCGCATTGCCGGGTTTCGGCCACCGAGATCGGGAGGTCGGAGCTTCGGGGAGGCCGACGTGAAGGCAGGGCCCAGGCTTTTTCGTCCCACCAAGCTACCGATTGGTCGGGCGATGGGTCGGGCTGGTCCGAGGTGAAGGTGACGCACGGGCTCATTGGCTGCCAAGGCCCAGAGAGGCGTCTTGGGAGAGAGGCAGATGACACAAGATGATGTACTTAAAATGTAAAGTTGATTAGTAGCCTCCCCCCAAAGATGAGATGAAGAACCATTTTGGTAGGGGGCTTTGTTAATCAGTTTGCATTATAGGCCCTGGTGCCCTTACAGAAGTGACAGCCGTGCAGGTTCCGGCCTTCTTCATACCCAAGACCTCAGAGGCAGCGGTGTTGGGAACTTGCCACCGTTCCATTGGCAGCACACCACGTCCAGTTGCTGATTGGGGATCAAGGTGTCATAGGGTACGTCGAGTGCGTAGTAGATGAGACTGGATTTGACATGTTGAAGCATTTTGAATTAGAGACAGTCTATCAACTTCTTTGATTTGTGCCATTTGTGCCTGTTAAAGGTGGACAGTGGCAGGCGGCACAGCCCTGGCTTCTTGTGAAACAAGAGGCTGTAGTACCATTTTCGAGCAATGGCCTGACTCCGTTTCACAGTCATGAGAATCTTCAGGAAGTCCTGCGCACACTGCGCCAGGACAAGGTTCAAATCGCTGCGGAAGCAGCTGCAATCTCTTTGTTAGCCATGGCGACTGACCCCAGCAAGAGCCAAGTGTTTGTCGAAGTTATCTGAGACAGATCCCAAACCCAAGCGAACCAAGTGGAACGATTGTAGCTGCATGTAAAAATACTCATGTGCAGGCCATAATGTTTAATGTCCACTGAGCCGACATCCTGAGGTGCCAAAAGTATCTACTGGCCGACTATCAAGGCGGGATGTCCGTTTGACACATCTTCGGATGGTGGTTTTGCTTGTTCTTGCCGTCTCTGATCGGCAAGTGTGGGAGTGGGACCCGTCGTTTTCAAGTCGTTTTCGCCTTGGAGGCCTTCAGAAAAGATGACCTTACACCGCTTTGCTGCAGCTATGCCGGCGGAGCGGCCAGAGTTAGCCGCCTTGCTGAGGTGTGGGTCGTGGGTGGTTGTGAGGAGTGGAATTCAGGGTGGACATGGGTGGATTACTTGGCACCTGAACTATTTGTTTCGGTCGCCGGTTTTGTCTGAATGGGGTCTTAATGGAAGGTGGTGCTTTCAAACAGCTGGGGCTCAAAGTGGCAGCCGGAGCATTGGATTGCAGAACAGCAAGAGAAAGAGTGAGCACATTGCATCAAAAGGCAGCTTTTCTGGAAGCTGCATGTTCTGTAGGGTAGCAGCTTCGGAAGAAACAACAGCATCCGAACCGATCCAAACTCAGTCCCAAATGGCCAAATGGTCATCGTATGTCATCGTAGTTCATGAGAGGCAGCGCTGTTTGCAAAGGAGGAGGCGTGGCAAAGCCTCGTGAACATGGATGTTGAATGAAGCTGCCCAAAGAGTCCGACAGGAGTGAAAAAGCGGCACCCCAGGGCCCCAAAACCCTCCCCCCTCAAGCCCTGTGTTGGTGGAAAGCCACTGAAATTCCAATGATCCGAACTTGATCCAAATGTATCCAACCGTCACCGAATGAGTCATTCTTCTGACCTACCTCTTCTACGACTAATTGGAGCTCAGTCATGACTACAGGTCTGTGATGTGGCCTGTCGAGGGAGAAACTCAGAGACATTCCGACCGAGAACCCTTGGATCTCCGAAACCTTCCGAATGTCTTCCAGTGGCAAGGCGACCGCCTAGCTGTGCTGAGTCCTTCTCTGGCCTGGCCGAAAAAGCAGAGAGAGAGAGAGAGAGAGGGAAAGAGAGAGGTGCGCATATCATTTCTTTGACCAAAAAGAATGCAGTCGAGTGATTGTGCTGGATTGTGCAGTTTTGTAAGCAGTTGCCGCTTTGTTGCCCTCTGTTGGTCAGCTCCAAAATATCCAAAGCTGTTTGAAACACAAACTGCAAAAGCAGTTGCATGGTTTTGGTATGTCTTAGTGCTCCAAATCGCAGCCAAACACCTATTCAGACGCTTGAGCATGGAGCCGGCAACCCTGAAGGCGTCCAATGATCCAATGGAATTGAACAGCAAACGAGTCATAGCCAAGTAGTTTAGCCAATCCTAGTCTAAGTGAGTCTAAGTGTTTAACATAGCTTTTCAACTACGCGTTTGTTGTCCCTGCCCACGGGCATGGCTACAGCTGCTACATGCTGCACGGACAACATCAAGAACGTCCATGAAGAGGCCAGTCACGATGTCAACGTCGATGTCCCCACGCTTCTGATGTCACGATGTCCACACCGCCCGCCAGGCAGGACGACGCGTTGAGTGCAAATGGCTGAGGCTGGCCGTGGGTGTTGGCGCCTGTGTGACTGGGTCTTTTCTTGATGTTCACGGTTCACGGTGCTTTAATTTATGGGAAAGCATGGAAAAGCCATTTTCTTAAGCCTCAATGGCTGCGAAAGAACCAGAATTGTGGAGCATTGGGAAGCTGCAAGAAGGTTAGTTTAGCCCTCCTGAGGGAAGGGGCTTTGACGGACGGACTGACTGATTGACTGACTGACCGCGGGCTTGAAGCAGGTGAGACCACAGAATTCGACAAGGGCCAAACTTCACAGACAAACATCATCAGGATCTGGAAAGAGCACCAAAGAGCAAATGGTTGTCATCATGTGCCATCCCCAACCCTTCGACTCACTGAGGGTTTTGGTCGGAAACTCGTGTTTGGAGAACCCTCAGTGTCGGGACTGGAGAACTTTTCCGCGCCTGGCGCGCCCGGAGCAGGGTGGATATATCGAGTCCGAACCCTTTGAAGCTTTGCAACTCAAGGAGGCTGGAAACAGATGGAGCCGCTGGGTGTGGCAGGTTGGTCGGTTGAGCTTTGGGTTGGTCGTCTAGGAGTCTAGGCCGATTCGGGGTGATTCAGGTGGTGGTGCCAAAATCAGGATGTAAGAAGGGGAGATGCAGAAAAAACCCTCCCAAAACACTGGCTTTGATGATTGGGAAGAAGGAATTGAATGTGGGGATTGAGAGACGAAGTTACGGGAGAGGTGCAGGTCCCGGAGAGGTAAATCCCACAAGACCTCCCACTGCAGGTCTTTGAAGGTGTGACGTTAAGGACTGAGAGAGTGATATTGAATGATTTTGAGAGGCAAAGACACAGATGATGGTTCACCAGGGGATCTCTCCGCCATGTATTTTAAAACATTCGATCCATCAGCTTTTCAACCCTGAAATTGTCTGGTTCCTGGCTGCTCACGAGCCCTGAGAGCCCTCCCCGCAGGAGGGCAACCACTTCCTGAAAGCTGGGGAGTTTGAGCCGGCACTGGATTGCTACCAGAGAGCTTTGACCTCTCTTTCGCAAGGCGGACGAGGCCTGACAGTCTTTCACCTGTTTTTGCGATCTCGGGTGCCCACCTGTTGAAACACACATTTTGTGCTCCCCGAACAGTTAATACTGATATGATAGATATGGATACTTTCTTGAACAGTCTATAGTCTATGGTTGAAAATTCGGTAGGGGCTGGAGCCAATGGTGCATGTGGCACGTCTACGCAAGTCTTACAGCCGTCCATGCTGCTCATATGTCGCAATTCATTCTCCAGAACTTGGTGCCCTATAGCGTAGTTTAGTATCTAAGTTTGTGGCTGCTGGGCCGGGCCCACAGCCTTCCAGAAATCACATCCTCAGGACATTTTTTGAGTGATCTTGGTAGCACCTCAGGTAGTGCCAGGGAGGTGGCAACTGTGTCCGGGGGCCACAGGCGAAACGCCGGAATTTGCTGAGACGTCTAGAGAACTTCGAAGAGAGGCCAGTTCTACAACAAAGTGACATGCCCAAACGCTCCAAGCAGCTTCTTAAGACTCTTGGTCCCTCACAAACTCCAAACCCAACCCCAGACCTGCCTTAAAATTGGTTCTCCCGAACTTTTTAGGCCCAAGGATGCCGAAGCGACTTTTAAGGCTTGGGAATGTGAGCTGTGCCCAGCTCTCGCTGGGTCAGCCACAACTGGCACTAGAGGCAGGGATGGGTCGATCATGGTCGATCATGGTGGTATTCAGATGGCAGTGGTACTGGAAAAGGGCAGTTGACAAGTTGTATGTCATGTCGGGCCACTTTGGCCTACTGTAAGTCATTTGACCCCGGTCATCTGATGTCCTTCGCTTCTGACCGCTCCTCAGTCATTCCTGGCCACCAGGCTGCGCGAGACGCGTGGAGAAAGGACCCCAGTTACTCGAAGGCTCTCTTCCGTGAGGCGAAGGCACCCTTGGCGATGTCGCGCATGAGCTCGTGACATGACTCGGTGGCGATGTGGAATATGGCATACGGATGTGTGTGTGTTTTAATAAATAGGGGGACCCCCAAACAATGAGTTTTGATCTATTTCCCTTCTTCCAGGGGGGTCGAACTGGGAGGTCTCCCTATTTTAATCCACACCCATATGGATGAATATGGTTGTCCATCCCTTAGCCAGGTCACTTATGTGAGGTCGATGTTGCAAGAAGCATGGCGAACGATTTAGTTGGACAGAGGAGTGAACATGGGATACCATAGAAAGGCGCTGGACAGTATAATGATACAATATGAATAGTATGAATCTCTTGAAATCTGGATGGGCATCTAGATGAACCTCCTATGGATAGGATATGATAGGATGGGGATCAGACATTTCCATTGCGACCGCACGGGGGGCCACGCTAAATCTCCGGTCAACTGGGTCAACCGGGTTAGCTGGGTCAACTGGGTCCGGAGATTTAGCGTGGCCACCGGGTCAACTGGGCCCACCGCGACCACCACCACCACCACCACGACGACGACGACGACGACGACGACGACGACTACTTGACTACTACCACCACCACTGGGTCAACTGGGGTCAACTGGGTCCGGAGATATAGCGCGGCCCGGGTCAACTGGGTCAACTAACCCTCAGCTCAACGACGGTCCAGGTGCAAACCAGGTGGACTTGTGGAGCAGGGATCAGGTGCTTCGTGTTCGATCGTCACAGTCTATCCACTAAACCACCGACAACTAAGTCAACTCATCCATAGAATTCTGGAACATGATCTAAACCAACCTCAACATCAGACATTCCGTGTAGAGCTTGATTCGGAACCTTACTTGTTCAAGTTCAACATCGGTCTCCATCACAACCTCGGTTGATCCAGCTTGACCCACTTCAGAAGCCAACAGTTGGGGACCGCTTCTTCCTGCGGGTCAAGAGATAGCTCTAGATCTATCGACGACCTGTGAGCAAGCGATGGTGATGTAAAACTACTAAAAGAAAACTAGAAACCAAGATCAACACAAGACATCTTGTGTTGAGCTTGGTTGGGACTCCCTCTTCCATCGAGTCGACCATGGCCGCATAAACAACATTGACATTTAAAAATACATATTCTAACCGTTGGAAACCAAGCTCAACGCCAGGTGTCCCGTGTTGAGGTTGGTTGAAGACTTTTCCTGAGCCAGTTGAGACACTGCCTCCATCAGAACCTCAGTAGAACGCATAAACAACAATAATGAGTTGTGAAAACACAATCTAACACATAGAAACCACACTCCACACCACGCATCCCATGTTGAGGTTGATTGGTGATCTTTCCTGATCCAGTTCAGGCAACGCCTCTATCACTACCTAGTAGTAGCAGTGGGCCCAGTTCACCCCAGTTGACCCCAATGGACCCACTTGACCCAGTTGACACGTAGTAGTAGCAGTCGTGGTCGAATTGACCAGGCGCCCACGCTAAATCGTCGGACCCAGTGGACCCAGTTGACCCCAATTGACCCAGTTGACACGTAGTAGTAGCAGTGGTACTGGTCGCAGTGGTTGACTTGACCAGGCGGCCACACCAAATCTCCGGACCCAGTTGACCCAGTTGAGGTCAATTGGGTCAACTGGGTCAACCGGGTCAACTGGGTCAACTGGGACACCCTGTTCAACTGGGTCAACTGGGACCACAGATTTAGTGGCCCCCCTGTGCCGACGCACTCGAGATCTAGATGAATTTCCTATAGATTGGATATGGATTGGACATCGCAGATGGGATTGGATCGGACATTCTGGATTCTGGATTAATCTGGATGAGACTCTGGATGAGTTATATACTGTAGATTGGGTGTGTCCTAGTACCTGTCGCAGTCGGTAAACAATTATCACTATTCTTGACAAGGCCTGCAACTGAACCATCATCCACCATTACTGGTAATTGGATAGACCAAATATATAGATGAGTTGGAGAATGTGCTGGGGACAACATGGCTGATGGGTCGGGGGGTCAGTTTGCACGGTATGGCTGATGGGTACAGAAGACATCCACTCCCATTGTGCCAGGCCTTGCTCGCCCTGGGGCAGTTCACCGACGCTGTCCGTGCGGCCCGGGGTTCCCGGGCAGGGAAAGACGTGAAGAAATCTTACCAATTGCAGTCGTTTTCGAGGTGGTCCGGAGTGAATTGCGGTGAATTCTATGAACCCCATTCCCCAACCTTGTGCCATTTTCAGATGGCATGCTGCTGAATTGATCGACCAGTAGCGCTGCAACACACTTCTGATAGCGAGTGTTTAGGAGAAGGTGCTGTTGAACTCGGCCGTGAAACAGGAAAGGGTCCCCCCTCGAAGGTGGTGGGTTTGTGCCACGACCATCACTCATCATCCCTTGGGAGTTCTTAACAATGCCGCAAGCAAGGCTGGCATGGATGGAGGCTCTCGACCACCAGATGCTAAGCGGCCAAGCGATAACTATGACGGGCAATGATTGATCCCACACGCACCGAAAATGTACTTGTTTACCTACTATCTCACACATCCTCACACCTGCCAAGCCAAAGGAAACCTTCACGTATATTTCGGGAATGCCCGGACCCTCCTTGCCTGCTGCGTGTGCTATACCATGTTGTTGGTATGTTATTCCACAGGGTCTCCGATGCCCACGGGGCACACCAAGGCCCTGCATTTGCTCTTCCTTTGCGGCAGCTCCGCCGGAGAAACCCGGTGAACAGGATTGGGGGGCAACTCAAAGAGTTGGAAGGGACATCAGGAGAGTGATTCGACGAGCTAAGAACATGTTGGAGAAGTCCTGAAGGCTTTGTGGTGTTCTGATGTCAAGATGGTCGAAGATGAATTCCAATTACCCAATGAGCTCCACAAGAGCCCCTGCTCCAAGCTTTCCTATCAGCCGCCAGCTGAGATTCATGAACAAGTTCTTCTGCACCACAGAAACCCTATAAAGCAGGAAAAAAAGAATAGCAGATCGAGTCTTGCAAACAGCGAATATTGGGTCACGCCACTGGGTTCAGGAATTTATTGCTCCTCTTCCTTCTGCATTCCACCCAACGGTTACGACCTCGCTCAGCTATTTGCTTTGCTCCAGACAGGGCCACGGGAGGCCTGCGCCCGACAAGGCCTGCACGTTCTGGCTGCGCCATGGCGTCGTTGATGGTGCAAATGGAGGCCTATGCCTTCAGGGAGCTGGTGGCCCATCTGCAGTGGCGGAAGGCACCTGGGACCAACGGTGGAAGCATTTGGGAGCACAGCTTCTTTTGGCGGTGCGGTGTTGGCGGATGCGAGTACCATGGGAGGACGCATACTGTGAGTGGTTCGGACATGTTCGGACACGTGGAAGTGAGATGGCGTTAGATGAGTTCAATTGGAGCGAGCACCCACCCAATTGACCAAAACAATGGGGAACCGACATTCAGGCACTCATATCGATGGCATATTGTTGAGGGGCACAGGATGGAGAAAGGAGAAAATTGATTTGCTGCGAATCATATCCCTCGTGACGACTAGCTATCATCCTCCTCCTCGTCGTCGTCGTCCTCCTCCTCCTCCTCAATTTCGTTATCGTCGTCGTCGTCGTCGTCGTCGTCTTCGTCGTCGTCGTCGTCATCATCATCATCATCATTTACATCAGCTACTGCTTTGCTATGGATACTGATAAATATTCAGAGGCTGGATCAGATCAGCATGCGACGGGAAGAAAAACACGACTGCTTTTGAGAAATGGAGGGGTTTTTGAATGCAACGCGCAGCAGCTTTCAGCTCGTCCCGTCCGCAATACAGGACGTCCAGAACATTGACCTGATGAACCTTGCTGGCTTTTGCAGGAACTGCCTCTCGAAGTGGTACCATGCAGCATCCAAGGCTGGGATTTGCATCCAATCGAGATTGAAATCAGGATCCACTTATAGACTTACCCGCTTTTTCTTTGGACGGGCACACGCTTTGTGTTCCAATCTTTTCGGACATTTCAAGGCTATCATTCATTGCCTGGCATCCGATTTCGCGGACAGTTCAGGAGCTCATGATTTGGTCCGACGAGTCCATGAAGACACTTGTGTGGGTCATTGGAGGATTCAATGACAGATTTCTACACACAGATCATTCTTATGTATTGTATTGCCGTCTTTCAGTTCCAATGATTTCTAAAAAGATCTATAGCGCAGGCCTGTCACGTCATGAAAACAACCTTCAGGGCGAACCTCCAGGTCCATGGTGTGCCGATGGAGTACGAGGAGGCCTGCGAGCGGATCTATGGGGAGCCTTATGGCGAGTGGAAGAAGAAACATCAAAAGACGCTCGAAGCGGTTCTGATGGTGATGTCTATGGGGTCCCGAGATAGATTTACTGTACAAAAAAAAGAGTAGATTTCATGCATTATCACGCTAAAGAATGCATTTCTGTTTGTATATTTCATATACTTATGGTTCTTACGTGTTTTTTCCTGTCCATGGTTTGGCGATGTATGAATAAGGGTCCCCAAAATAATTCTGACAAGCTTTTTCAATACACTATAGTCACTAAACATGTATTGGACATCGTTTTTTCAACCTATTTGGGGACCACTGTAAGTTCAATCGTCAACTTTGTCTCAGACACAACAACTTCAGTCAAGTCCATGCATTGTGACCTTGCATGAGGGCCTAAAACAAATGGATGCCAACAGACAGACGCCCGAATGTAGCAGAATAGCCAGTGACTAGTATCGCCCCATGTCGGGGTCAACCCCATCCAAGGAAGGCCGGTGAGGAGCAGCTTGCGGCTCCTCGATTTTTGGCGGCCCGGGGCATGCCAGGGCTGTGGTGAATTGGTTTGAACCCAAAAGAAATCCCATCTCCAACGGCTTTGTCTGACGGAGGGCAACAAATCTCAAGAGACTTGACACCACCAAACCAGGAATTGCGGATGAACACCCACGAACATTGTGTTCTAAATGATGCATACGTGGTGGGATAAAGGTTCTTTTTGAAGCCTTGGAGCATCTTGAGCATTTGTTGAAGCTCTATGCATCTCCATGCAGCAACCCTGAATGTTTTGTTTTCCATCGGGCATGGTACTGTTTGAGCACAAACACGGACATTAGTATATGTATGATTATGTTTAGATTTCATGCTACAAAGGCCAGCAGAGGGCTTCGAGATTCCAGTGGCCTTCTTCCAGACCCTCAGCAGCTAACAATCCAAGAATTGGACGGCCATGAGCACTGTTGTTCGTAGCGCTGGTTGATTCAATTCATCATTCCAGATTGCCCTTGCCGGCTAAGCCGTAGCAATCTTTGGACGAAGTCTTTCGGTTTCCACGACACCTGTGTGATGCCCTTGTTCCTAGCAAGAATGCTCCTAGCCGTATGGCCAGGAGCCCCGTTCGGTTCGTGCCCTTTGCTGCTAGCTCCTTGAAAAGTCTTGGACCTCGAGGCCTTTGAGTCGGGCAAGGATCTCCACGCAAGGACGGAGCCCAAAGGCCTCCTTTCAGGCGGCAACCACGAGCCGGGTGGTCAGCCGGGCCACTCGAAGCTTGGCAGGTCCTTGAGGCTGTTTATTTTTTGGGGGGGTTGGCGTTTGAGACCTGAGGGGGCCCCGATGCAATTTTTGGTAACATGGTCAAAGCTTCGGAACCTGGTTCGCTTGTCACATTCTGACATAGGATGAGAGTATGGTTCCTGGTAATGGTAGGAGTTGAGTTTTGTGTGATGTTGTTCTCACCATGTCTCACCCATCAACCCCTATCAACCCATTCCACTCACTTTCAATCGACCTCGCCCGTTGTAAATTGTGCTGCGTTCGTTGTCACGCACCCGGAACGAAGCACCTGGATTTTTTAGGGGACAAGGCTCCCCAGGCAAACGAGCACGTGATACATGTCAGACTTGATCATTTGGTGTGGTGTTTGGGTTTCCTGTGGGCGGTCCTGGCATGCGGCGTTGTTCAACAGAGAAAGCGCCTACCTGGAGAGGCCAACCATTCTTTCGGTGGGAGAAGTGTCATAGCATGGGTCATTGGCAGGCAGCGGACCTGGTATTCGACGATTGTTCTTGCACCACCTCCAATCGAAAATCAGTTTGACTTTCAATGGTTTCACCCCGGTGAAACCATGACTTCAACTTCTATAGAATCATTAATTACCAAAAAGGGAGAACATATGTCATATTGTTTCATTTACTGTACTTGAGCATTCATGAGCTGGTGTTTTGATCTGCAGGTCCTCGCAAACCTTGGTCTAGCGTGTTTAGCGCTGTTGACTAAAAGTCATGGATTGGAAAAACCTGCTTGCAATTAAAAGTAATATGGATGGGTCATTCTGTAACTAGATTGACCAGGTAGACCAAGGACAATGTTTAATCATGTTTTTCTGGGGATACGGGGAGCTTGGTAGTGCACTACATAGTATATCAGAGTAAATGTATCAATCTTCCAAGGATGTTGAGAATCATTGCCCTTGACCCACGTTCTTGAATCCACATCCCAGCGCATTTCCCAAAGGAATGTTTGCGGCCAAAGCTGTGATGCACCACCCCCCACGGTCTCCGCACACGTGGCTGGAGCTTCCACTGCCGCACGCGTGGCCGTGCTAACGGCATCCGACCGTGCAGCGGGCGGGGTCTATGAGGCACGGCCGGCGGCGCCGATACGCCGATGGACAATGATCATACAGGGATCACCCCCATTCCTCTCATCAGTTAATTTTTCGACGTAAGGTTTCTCGATGGACGTTGTTTTGAAACTGACCAGGAAAAGCCACCTGAACTCCGGAGAGGGTGTTGTCTGTGTTTACCCTGGCTTTCTGAAGGAGTTTTGGGCAGGAGGATGACAATATGCAGGACATTCATCAAACATGCTGTTTGTGTGTCCTCCACACACGGCTTCTTGGGGCTTCGTGGGTGCGATGCGTAGTGGGTTGAATGGCGGGTGAAAGCTGGCAAAAGCATTTCCCTTATGCGGGCTCTTTATTGAAATCTGGCAAATACAAAGCAATACATTGTGCTGTAGTTGAATGCCGGAAGATATATAGTGATCACCACCCCCTTGCGGTGCTTGACCCTGCCGGGGGGGTCAAAATTGTAACTTACATTTTTTGATTTCACAACAATAGCACTATATAGCCCTATGGGGGGGGGGGGTGAAAATTGTAAGATCTAGGGTTGAGGTAGCCTATGTGAGGATGTTACTTTTTTTGACCCCCCCCCTCAAAGAGGTCTTGGCCTACTTCTGGAGACTTTGAAAGGAGGGGGGGGGGGTGGAAATTGTAAGAATCTATGGGTGGGTACCACACAGAGCAAAATTACAATTTCCCCCCCCCTTGTCGACGTTTTACGAGTGTGTTTTGTAATAGCTTTGAACCTCTCTGCTTCGACAGTTTCCACATGCCTTTGGAACATGAACTTGGGCATCTTGAGCTCAAGATTGAACTTAATCCGGAGATTCTCGCTTTGCTTTCGTGCAGCACAACTGGCTCAACCGAGATCAACCGAAAGTTAGAACAACCGAAAGGGAAAGGGAGATAAAGTGGAGGACTCGATGCTCTGGTCTAAACATGGTGTCCCTGCCACTGGAGATTACAATTCTACCCTAGACATCCTTGAACGACCTGTACTTCTTATATAAATTGTTGGAGCAATGTTTCCACAAAAAAACATGCGCAACACACACTGTATAGTGCAAACAAATGGCAACCTTACAATTATACCTCTAAAGCGACATGTATCTGGTAAAGCTCTGAAGCCCCTCTCTCTTCCAGATATGTTCAAGGCCACTGCAACCCGGGAAAAATACTACACGGAATGTATTTTAGTGCGCCCACAAGTCCATATCACAATTACAACCTTCTTCTCCGACTATTGAAGCTCGTAAGAGAAATGTTGAAGCCGGAACATGAAAGGAAAACACTGCGCAGGGTGTACCATAGCGCAGCCAGAAAGCCATATTACAATTAGTGGCACTGGTAAGGTCCTCCCATAAATGTTGAGGCAGGCACAGCCCAGGAAAAGCACCGCACAGTGTGTGTTTAGTGCACCAACAAGTCCACATAACAATTAGAACACCCTTCTGCCACTCTTCAATTTTGTGAGATGTTGAAGCCAGAACATGAAAGGAAAACACTGCACAGGGTGTACCATAGTAC